AGCTCGCGTTCGTCTTCAGCTCGGTGGTCTACGGGACCAGCTACCGGTCCATGAACTCCATGGCAAAACCGTCTTTCACAGATGACGGCAGCCTTGCCGACGGGGGAATTGACCTGAATATGGAGCAGGGGATGGCAGAGAGAGTGTCCACACCCGCATGAGTCCAGGTGAGCAGGCCCTGCTGCCTGAGCGTGCACGCAGAGCCAGGAGAGCCCCCGCGGGGCTCAGCGCCCACCTCAGCTTGCCCACCGGCACAGGCGTGAGGGGAGCCGGAGGCCTGGAGCCATTTTTTTCCAAGAACGTCCCTAACCTGTCCTTGGTATCTGAGTGCTTGGCCTGGCGTGCGCTAGTTGTGCACTGCCGTGTGGGTATGTCAGCCTGGAACAGTCCTTTTCCATAGGGCTGAGGTGTGCAGGTAGGAGATCCCAAACAGCTCAGCTGGAGCAGCTTCCAGCGTTCTTTCAGTGAAGAGATGGCGCTGACGCTGCGTACCCTTCTGAACCACACTGAGATAGAGATTTTGGTTTTGAACGAGCGCCGCAGGTAGTGCTTGACAGAGTGGAAAGGCACACGCTGCTGGTTCCCCTGCAAACTGGCTGTGTCTTGAACTGTTCTACGCCCTAAAATACCTCCCTGCTCTCATAACCAGCTCCTCTCGCCTCCTCAGCCTTTTCTGCTTGTGAATTCCCCGTGTCTGGCTGCAGACAGCGCCGAGCGTTTGCCTGTCCAGTGTTCTTGGCGGTGCTGTAACCCCTCTTTTCCTCGGTCAAGAAACATACAACAGTCTGTTAAATAAAATAAAGAGACAGCGGTACTGCAGCAGCAGAAATATCTTCTAGATTGACGTGTTTTCCAGCAGTGAGCCTCCAACTAGTTACAGAAAACTGCAGGGCAATGGTGGACACTTTGCTCTCTGCGCTCCCTGCCCTCAGCCTCTGTCTGTTGGTCCAGCTTTTCCTGGGGTTCTCCAGCGTGCGCTCAGCGCAGTACGGGGGCTGCACGGCCCCTTCCCTCCCTTGGCCTATGGTTTAAGGTTTATCACCATCTTTCACTTGCTGCCAGGCTGTTGAGGAAATGCAGTGGGGCCTCGTTTCTGACAGAGCCCTCTGTGCCCCAGCAAGCGTTCTCGTGCTGGAACGGCGCTGTATTGACTTGTACAGTTTATTTTTCCTAACAGAAGATGTGTTTCTGCAGTCAGCGGGTGCCTGGGGATGGTCTCAGCAGGCAGAGCAACCCATGAGGCACAGAACCAGCCGTCTCTGCACGGGATGAGCTCTCATCTTGTGCGTTTGTTAGTGGAGCAGTAAATTTTCTACCTGGAGGTGTGCGGTGTAAGAAACTCAGCCGAGGGGCAAGGTGGCCGGGAAGAGAAGAAATTGTTCCTGGCATGATTTGAGAGCCAGGTGCTTTACACCCTCTTCATCCTATAGTGGCTTCTTTTCCCTGCGGGTCAGCTGAGCATTTTTCTCTCGTTTTACACTGCTTTGGCTCTCCTGAGTAGAAGCGTATAATATTTTGTGAAACACAAAGTGGGGTAGTCGAGTAAGGAAAATACAGAAGCTTGAGGCTGGCTGGGGTGTCCTCCTCATTGTAAGAGATGCTCCTGGGAGGTGTGTAAGGCACCGAGGCGGAGTGGGTGCCGCAGTAGCTGCCCCGTGCGTGTGTGGGTGCTGTTGGGGAAGTGACGGGCAGGAGTTTGCACACTCCTGACCTGCTGGGGAAAGCTGTCGGGTGCGGTTGTAGCACGGCTGCGGCCTGGGTTGCAGACATTTCTCTCTGTACTGGGGCTTGGAGGCTTTTCTGCCTGAGCAAAACATGGCCAGGGCTGAGTTTTATGGCACGTTAACGTTAATAGATGCTTTTCCGAGGCATGGGCTGTGCAAAGCACAACACAGCTCAAAGGCAGAGCTGTAAATACAAAACCTGCGCAGCTGAAGTTCCCATCTTTACCTTGTACCTGAGCCTGTGCGGAGCCCTCAACTGCGAGAGTGTGAATCCTTCATCATTTTAACCCTGCTGGTACATGAATGCAAAGCCTTAACGAGTGCTCAGTGTCCGTCTGGCAGGTGAAGCACTCAAAATTACAGCTTTGGGGATCGGGAACCG